GACGGAAGAGGTCCATGCAGGCACTTCAAAGCTCTGCCCTTGGGGTGAGCAATGACGTTCTCCCGCAAAAGGGGCGGCTGCAAAGCTCACTTTCCCAATCTTCACCTCTCCAGGCCCCCTCTGCAGCGTTGCTCTGCCCAAAGCAAATCAGAGAGCTTTCTCTTGCGCTTGCCACCACCTTTGCATGTCCCTGCCATGCCCGCTTCAGATTTTTACAGACTGCGTCACTGCATTATAACACTCACGCACCATGGTTCCCAGCCATTTCCTTCTAATGGATTTCGCATTAGTAGCTAGTATTGGGAAATCTAGTCCCAAAAGGTTAATGTACATCCATTAGTCCTTTCTTTCAACCTCCTTCTTTACGTGCTAGTAGAAGACAACCAATTTCAGTACACACATTAGGCCTGGAAGCACTTGAAATTCTGTATGTGCAAAGCTGTGGGGCTATTAATATTGTCCTGTCGAAGCACTGTGGGTAAAGTGGGATCTGCAGATGTTTGATGATACTTTTCAGGTGTTTCCAGCCTCCACAACCTTTCCTTTCCTTATAAAAGGTTTTGGGGTTTTCGAGACCTGCTCTTTTTGTTGAGCTGGCTACTCGCTCTGCATCTCCTATATCATGAAGGAAGCTGTGCTTTCACCCACGTGCTCTCTCAGCTATAGGCAAGCGAAGGAGGAACGACGTCGCGGTAGTTCAGACCGCCGTGTGGGCAGCTGAGCTAGCCTCAACAGCTAGACTGCTCCGCGACCTGCAGCAAATGGCTTTCTCCCTCCTCCCCTCAAAGCCACCGCGACAGTTTCTGCCCTGCTAACGAGAGCGAAGCTGAAAACCCTAAGTCTATCTCTATCTCATTGCGTTCTCTGACCTGCACTTTAGAAAAGGTCAAGCTTTTCCAATGAAAAAAAATCTATTACTCTAAGGACCACAAGTAGAAAGCAGGAGGGGCAGGGAGGGCTTCTGAGGTATTTATGGTTTGCCATGTTCTTTAACTAAAACCTTATCTTTTAGCACTGCAGACCTTGAAAATTAAGAATTCGAGTCATGATACCCTCGCTGGCTGTCTTTGTGTTTAGTCAGCGTGGGCTGAATGTCCCTCACCTTTGGAGCCACCCACCACGACCTTCATGGAGAGCCATACCATCACCCTCAGTCTTCCCACACTCTCCTGCCCACCCCAGACCAGGACGCAACCCTCTGGTCTCCACTTCCCTCGAGGCCCTTCCACGTGTCTAACCTGGTTCTCCATACTCCACGGTATCCCGTTTTCCATCCCCGGCAGAGCTAACTCACCACTCTGCAAACCAGCAGGTCCCAGTTCCTGAACCTTGTTGATGTTTTATTTCCTGGTACCACGTTTTTGTTCAGACTGAGCACTCATGTCTCCATTAAAACCCGCGGTCCACGGAGGAAACCTGCACTGGCCTTACCTAAGCCCCAGTGTGGACACCTCTATGATGAAGACTGCAGGCTGAGCTGCTGCAGGATGGTCTACCACCGTGTACGGGGCTCAGTTCTGCAAGGTGCAACTTCCCCATGCCCCAACTTTGACTGTTCTCCAGACCCCAGGTAAGCTCCCCAGTGCTGGAGCCTGGCTGACTTGAAGCTATTTATGGGGGTACACCAAGCTGGGTGCATGAGCAGCTCTGGGTATGCGAGTTCGAAACGTTGCAGAATCAAGGCCAAAAGGAAAAAAAAACAAAAAAAAAATCCCGTCCGCTTTAATTTCACTTAATGAGAAACCATTCACAGCTTTCCATTTCCGATCTGTATCTTTCCATTTCTATTCTAATGGTAATTACTGTAGCAGTTTATTAACAACAAAATCATTTGATAGCTTTCACATATTCCCATCCTTCAAGTATCTAACAACCTATTGATTCGATCGCTTGGCAGTGCTCCTGATTGAGGAGCCGGAGTTTGATTTTTTTTTTTTTTTTTTTAAGCACTTTGATCATTTCACATGCAAAGGATAATTATTCTTCTGGTTGAAACAAGGGCTGGGTTGCGGATCGATGGAATCCACGGTGTGATGTTCTCGTGCGCGATCCCGGCCGCACCCACCGTCGGCGCCAGCAGTGGCTGCGTTTTCTTACGGAAGGACCTTGAAAAACTTGGTTTGGGTTGGATTTCTGACCCCTGAGTTACCACAGTCAGCAATGAGAAGGTGTGCAACACACGTCCACAGAGGTAATTTCAATATCTGACTCTACTGAGCGTATCTTTATGAAGGGTTTTTGCATTCGCAGCTGCTTCCCGTGGGGCGGCCCCAGCAAGGTGCTGCGTGGAACGGGCTTTGCGACGGCGGTTCTCGTGTCCCTCCCTCCTGCTGCAGAGCCGTGATGCTGCCGGTTGCTTCGCCACCCCTGCTCTCGCTTTCTGGCTGGTTCCTCACTCCTTCTGAGCAGCTGGAGAATTTTTCTCTGACACCGGTTCACGCTGGTACGGAAGGCCGGGAGGCTGCAAGGGCTCCCCAGCGAGCTGCGCGACACGCGACGGGCAAGTCTGCCATGGCACTCAAGCCCAGCCGCGGCCCGGGCACGGTCCAGCCCCTCAGAGATGACCAGCAGCCAGTCTGGCGGGCGTGAGACGCGGTGGCGGTTCACAGGAGTCAAAAATACGGTGTGACGTACACAGGCTGCTTGGGCACGTCACCGTCACGCTGCTTCTGGTTTTCTAGCAAATTGTTCCCAATCATATCGGAGGCTTACGTGGGAATTGTATCATCTCTGCTATTAAATAGCAGGGAAATCTGCCTAGAAAGAGGTCCCAGCTACTTCAGTAAGTAGACTGAGACCTTTAGGTCTTAGACCTTAGGCCTTTGGTCACATCACGAGTCCTCCTCGGAGGAGCGAGAGGAGCAACAGGGATGGAGGCCATTTGCTGCAAGTTTTGTCAGGCGGGTTTAGAAAGGACAGAAACGTCTGACCTCTGCGAGGAGAAGCTGCGACCTGTGTCCTCATGGGGCTTCTTCTGCACATGACCCCAATGGGCTTCCCACCTGGTTTTTAATAATCCATAGGCTTCTGAAATGGCCCGGTTCGCTCATGCAATGCCTCGGTGACCCTACAACCTCCCGGG